CCTAAATCATCTATAACCTCCCATTCCTTGAAGAGGAAGTGCTCCCCAGTGGTGAAGATCTTCCCTCCGGTGATCATACCCGAGCCCTTCCTCATATTCCCCTCTTCTCCTTTCATATTCAGCATCCCGGCAATAAAAATCATCCCCTCTCCCCACAAAATCAGCACCCCTTTCATAGCCCAAACTCATCTCCTCTCTAGAAAGTGGTTCTAGATGAGGCATTCAATCATTTCCCTCAAGGATCTCCACTTCCGGATTCTCCTTCCCCCTAAATGGGTTTGGATTTCTGAATCTCCAATTGTCGGCTGTGGTCTCATTTGCTTACGATGTCGCCGGATTTTGTTTGCCCTCAAGCATCTTCCACATCATGTCTTCCAAGGCAGCGAACATTCCATCCATCTTTTCATGGATGCAAGCAAATTGATTATGAAAATTAGTGGTTTTTTCCTCAAAATTTGTCTTTAGTTGACCTATATCTCCCTCCAATACTTCAACTTTCCTTCCGGCCATTTTCCTTCCCAAGGTTTCCGAGAAGAACTTGCGGATGAAATTTCCTTGCTGAAATTTCTGGATTTCAGCTGTCGATGGTCTCAAGACAACGCTCTGATACCAATTTGATATGAAGCACTTGAGTTTGCAGTAACTCTAAGGGTAATACTTGAGTTCACAAGCTAACCTAGCAAAGAATTGGCAAAAACAGCGAGAAATAGGGCTGATTTCAAGGGGAAATCAGCAAGAAAAATGCAGGAAATATAGTAGATTGGAGAAGAAACACAAAAGAAATACTTTGATTTTATCCAAGAACAAGAAAAAAAAAAACAAAGCAATATACAATTTTCTTCAATTCGAGAAGAAGAAATACTCTCCAAATCTCTAGCAAACCTAGAGCCCACACCAAAACAAATCTAAATCTCAAAGTTTCAGCCAATCTCAAGATAACCCTAACCTAGCCTCCAAGAGACTAATTAAGGCCAAAGGAGGCTTACAAAATCCCTAAACAGCCCCTAATTCAAATTTTTCCTCCTAAACACTATTTAATTAAGCTAGTGGGTCCCATTAGAGCTTCCGCCCCACTAGGTTCCGCCCAAACCTTGGTCTGCCGGCTGTAAACCCGAACCGATCCTTGTTGGACCGGTTCAGCCGGCCTCTCCTAGGCTGGCTGCGTAACATATACTTGATCCAACTTTGGAGTAGTGATTCTTAGCATTAACTAATCCTACTTTGAAGTTCCATTCTCCAATTTGATCTGTTGTCTGAACTGCAGTTGCGTTTTTTCTTATATTTGCTTTTGTTTGTTTACATTTGAATATATGACTTACCTGCTGCAGTTGGCTGCAGTGAACCAGAACCCTTCATGCTATTTATCCGAAAATGCATCTACTTCAAGGCCTGATGGTTTACTGCCCAATGGAGGATCTTCTTCTGCAATCATCAGTGGTGGTCCTGCAGGAAATCAGAATGTCCAACTTGGCAATGTTCCATCAAATTTTAGTGGGAGGTTGGAAGTTCCGGCAAGCATGTTATCTTCAAAGAACTCACTAATGGGAAGAAATCACATGATGAATGGTACAACAATCAAGACAGAGCCTAGCTATACAACCAATTCTGAGTTTGCGTTTACTGGTAGCAGTTTCTTGGAGACTCAGCCCACACTTGATCCACTTGGTGCATCCTTCAGTGGTCCTGAGTTGACTGCTCAAGCACTGAACGAACCACTTCAGGATATCGATTCATCTCCTTATGGCTTTTTAAGTCATATTCCTCGAAACTTCAGTTTTTCAGATTTAACAGATGGCTTTGCTCAGAGTGCCGGTTTGTCCTGAACTTAGTCTGGTTGCTTTCCTTTATTTTGCTTCCGTCCTCTTCCGGATAACATCCATTGAACCACTTTTTACAGCTCTCAATATTTTTGTTTTCTTAACAGTTATACTGGAAAGTTATGATAGGTCACCTTTTCTTGCACCTGAAGCAAACAACTTTACAGGATCTCCTGGAGTAGAATGCAATGGTGAGATTCTCTTTGTTTTATTTTATTTATATTTTGTTTTCTAACATGTTTGTCTGTCGTTAAAAGGCAGCCTTGGAGCATGTTGACCTTCAATATGTCATGGAGGAATGTCAACCTCATGATTGGTCAAACAAGCTCCCTGTTCAATTGGGTTGACCTTAATCAAATGTACTAAATGGCTCTACTACCCCAACAGATTCTGGCTTCTAACTCTATTTAATCTCAAAAGGCCTTAGAAAAGATGAAGAGACATTTTGATCCCTTAATCAAAATCTTGTTTAGTGTGCTCATTTGATTCAAATTTTGTACTGTGCTGAAATCCCATAACCATAATCGAGTTCAATCAGATCAATTGATTTGAATTGTGTTCTGACCTAGAAATGGCCCATTCGGTTTGAATCTGACAGTGTTAGTCTGATTCCAAGCATGATTCTCTAATTGAATTGAAGTGGCTTCATTGAGCATTGCTTGTTGAAATCAAACTTAATATAACATATTAAACCTCTATTGAGCTCAACATCAACTGGTTTGGTTCAGATTTAGGTAGGTTAAATTTCAAGTTGATTCTACTTTATGGATTAAAGCTTATTGGCTCATATCAACTTAGATTGGGATTCAATGACCTAGGTAAGCGTAGATTTAGATTTTAATTAAGAATAATTAGAGCAACCGAGTGGACCCAAATATGGCTAATTAAATTTCTCAACGCTTTGGAGTAAGGCTGACTCACACTCAAGATCAATCAATTTGAGTAGTTAAATTTATGTATGAATCCAATTGCTCAATTAAAACTTGATTGGCCTAATGATGCATTGAAATACTAAAATTAAGTTGGAATAATCCAATCAAAGCATACTCGACTGTACCATGTTGGGGTTGATCCAAATGATTGGCCAAATTTTTATACGTGTTATTTTATAAAAATGATTTGGTTAGCTCATATATATATATATATAAAACTACAACCCTTTTATTTGATGAGGACATCTGCCCTTGGAGAGTTTAGCAGAGACGGGGCCGACGATCTACTGCCACGATTACGTCAATTTATTTTTGAGTTATTATATGTATTTATTTATTTGTGTATTTTTTCATTTCTACCCTCACTTGAGGGAATAGTTTTTTGTGACCCTTAGGGGCATTTGTGTCTTTTATTTCGTCATTATAAACATTAGCTATTTATATCTCCTCCTCCCCTTTGGAGAGGGTAATTAACATTATTACAAGAAATTTCTGCACTTGTGTGTTTTGGGAGAGCTTGAGAGTTCTTGGAGATATTGAAGTCCCTAGGTGAGGGCATCGTAATACCCACCAACTGCAGGAAACGTCTGGGTTTGTGGTTGACTTTCTCTTTCCCCTTCCTCCCCTCTCTCCCCCACAAACCGCCGACCATATCTCCCTCCCTCCCTCTCTCGGCCAAACCCCACCACCACCACAACCCCGGCCGACCACCCCATCTCCCACCTCCAAGCCGCTGGCCATAAGGCCCATCACCTCCTCTCCAAACTGTCGGCTTCAAGGCTCCCTTCCTCCTCCAAACCGCCGGCCCCAACCCTAACCCTAACCCTAGTCATTGGCCTCATTCCCCTCCCCTTGCCTCCAAAATTCAAATCCCTATTTAGTATTTTCCTTTTATTAAACATCTTAAATTAGAAAAGTTATTGATTTCAACTTCCAATCAATTTGAATTTGAAATTATTTCATAAGATATGATGATTTATTTTAGGAAAGTTACTTAAATCAAAACTACTTAAATTTCAAATTGGATTTGATTTAAATCAATTATTCCCAATTTGAGATTCTTGATAAGGCAAGCCTTAACTCCCCTCCCCCAAACCCCATTACACTTAAGCATGCCGCCAGCCCCTTCCTCCTTCCCTCTCTCTTCCTCACATTAAATTCCTTCCTTCTTGGAACTTCAATCAATTATCTCATCAAGGAGCATCTTTCCTTTCCCTCCCGTTAGTTGAAATCCAAAATTCAAAACCTTAATCCCCTCCTACTCAAAATTGAAATTCAACTTCAGATTTTGTGACAAGAACTTCCCATCCTAGTCTTTGCCGACCACCCAACCCCTCTCCCCATCATTGCACTTGGCTTGATACATCACCTAAGGAAGAAAGGAGAGAAGAAGCTACACCACTCCCTCTCCAATACCTTAATAAACTTCTCTACCAATGTATGGCGGATGCAGAACTTGATCACAGGTTTGTGTACAACGATCAAGGGCAAATCAGCATTCTCAATTCTCCGCTCTTTGACGTCAACATGGAGATCGATCAAACCTTAGAAGACTACGTCGAAAGGATTACCTTCACCCTCGCTGCCGCTATCGACGAACAACTCTCTTCCATTCAGTGGCAGATCGAATCCAAATCTTTATCTAGGTAAATCTCTCCACCAAGTCTCTTGCTTTTTTAAGTATTCCCTTTAATTTGTGGCGTCATAAAAGGTTGTGCAACCTATCTCCGTTTAGCCTATGAATAGTGTGAGTGAGAAGGATCCAAATAATGCCTAATCTTATTGTTATATCCGTTTAGCCCATGCTATGTTTATCTTGATTGTAATTGATTATTCATGATTCTAACACCTACATATAATTTGGCCTATGCTTTAATCATCTCTCTATTGTTTTAATACTCGTTTAAATCACTAGAAGCCACATAATTATTATTGCTCTAAATTAAAAAGGTGCGTAATCTCAACTTCACATAATTTCACATTCATTTAGTTCTACATCATTTTGGTATCAGAGCATGATTGCATTTAGGTGCCTCTTAGGAAAACTTTTCTTTTATGTTTAGCATCTAAATTGCATCTTGCACGCATTAAACTTATTTGCATGTTAGCATATTAATCTCTTTCATATCTTCATAGTTATGAGTCACCCTTAGACATTAGGATGGACCCGGAACAACTTCACAGAACTTTAGACCTACTAGTAGGTTGGATGAACACGATTAGCCAACAACTTAAAGAAAATCAATCCAACCTAGTTGAACTCCGTCGCTAAACAACTGAATGATTTGATACAGTAGAACGAGTTAGGAATCACCCTACACCTTACCTTCTAGACCTCTGTCGTTGTATGGGGACGATATCTTACCGGATGAGGGACACCTCCGTGGCCCTTATCGTGCTCCTCACTACGATCATAATCTTTATAATGACCCTGATATACTCCTAATGAAAAACATTATGGTAGATGCCCTAACCTTTGACAGTTCTTTCGATCCCCAACTCTTCCTGGACTGGATCAAGGGGATGGATAGTTTCTTTAAGTGGTACAATATTTCTGAAGCTAGGAAAGTCAGATTCGCTAAAATGAAACTCGATGGTAGGACCACTTCCTATCACTTTTCTATAAAGGCAAACTTGAGTCTAACTTGGAAAGGATATGCCCTTCAATATGCTACCATCCAGTTTTCTTGGGATATCTGATAGGAGATAGTCCATGGATGCTAATCGGACTCCTTGGATAACGTGATTTTCTTGCCCTCCAGCATAAGGAGACTTTGTCCACAAAAAATACTTGGGATGATGAAATTACCCGATACTAGATGTACTTGGGATGATAAAATTATGGGATCTTGGTTGGTTGAC